CCTCAATGAAATTGAGTTTGGCACTACTGTTCTATACTTATCTTACCAACCCCTTTCTCCAGAAATGATTAGCAAACTTCTAACTCAAGCATAACTTATATGGCTCTTCTGCTCATGCTTTTCTCTCCCGTAAGCTGCTAATGATGTTTCTGTGCCATTTGCGCTATGAATTAAGTAATCAGTGACAGCTTGCAGACTGAACTTGTGATCAATGATTCAGACAACTCACTTCCCTTGAACATATGTGGTCTCACCAAGTGTTAGGCTGATGACAAAAGAAAAAGACAGCCTTGTATGAGCAACTGATTCTGTTCAAGATAATTTTAACCTTTTTAGTATGTTTTAGCAAGGTTTTAGTATGATGCATGTTTGTTGTTTTTTATTTATAGGTAATTCTCGACTTCCGAGCACAATCAGCGATTTCCATTGCTAAGCAAGGTGCTTAAATGAGTCATGCACGATTTTGTAACTTTTGCAATAGTTGTTAAGCAAATCACTGTGGTTAAGTGAATCATATGATTGTTAAGTGAATCTGCTTTTCCCCATTGACATTGCTCATCAGTCACCTGCTGGGAAGGTCACAAGTGGTGATACATAACCCCTGGATAATTCAGCTGCCATAAATACATGTCGGTTGCCAAGTGTCTGAATTTTGATCATGTGACTCTGGAGATGCTATGATGGTTGTAAGTGTGAGGACCAGTTGTAAGTCACTTTTTCAGTGCTGTTGTGACTTCAAATAATCGCTAAACAAATGGTTGCAAGTCAAGGACTACTGGATATTTTTTATTCTTGTTGTTACAAATTGAATAAACGAAGAAATGCAGAAGGTTTGATGTTGCCTAGAACCTAGGTATCACAGGGAAAGTTGTTCCTGGATCAGGCTACTGCTGTCTTTGATGGCTTAGTAGTCAGAATCTCCTTCAGTTTTCCCAGTTAAGGCAATTGGGCAACTGTGATAGTTTGGAGAGGCTGCAAAATTGCCTTTTTCTTTAAGAAAACTCTTCTATTTGACTGATATCTTCTAATTGATTCATGTAATTGGCTGGAACATTGGTTAAACTAGCCATCCCAAACCTGATGTTCTCCAGGTGTGCTGGACTTCTCTATTCCCCTCTCCACTGACCAACACATCTAGAAGATATTGAGTTTCAAAGGCTGGACTGGTAATTGCCCTTTTTAATTAAATTCTCTGTTTGTTATCATCTGCTATAATTTTGTGTCTTCTTTTTCCTGTTTTTTATTTTGTGCTAAATACAGTATATACTTGGAAAATAGTGTAAATAATGAAATGAAATGAATGAATGCATGAATATTACTTTGTTCTTCACTTGGAGCTCTGATTCCTAGTGTATATTATCTTTCGCATTTTTCCTATTACCTATTCCTTTAGCATCTTATGACTTATTCTTTCAGCTTCCTATTCCTTTAGCATCTTATCACTTTATTGTTTGTATCTTATGATTTATGTTGATTGCTTTTATTTAGTATTTTATGACTATCACTGAGTGTTGTATCTTATGATTCATGATGATTGTATTATGATTATGATCATGATTTATCACTTGTTGCTTGTATATACACTGAGAACTTATGGATCGGAGGCAAATTCCTTGTGTGTCAAATCACACTTTGGCCAATAAAGAATTCTACTCTACTCTACTCTACTCTACATAGCAGACCCATAATTAGGGTTAGGGTTAGAACATTTAAATGGTGCTTCCAGATGCATAGGTGTGTTCTTAATGCGGCACAGTGTTGTACTGTATTGTGTTTTTCTTGTTTCTCTTAAGGCAAAAAAAGGCTTCACAACAAGCAGCCATTGGAAGCAAAAATCTCACTTGCTCTTAGTGCTGTTTAAAAAGTTACAAGTATGAGAATTTTTGGAAACCCTGCAAAATGTTGTTGCTGATGGGCATATGCAACACTTATACTGAGTTTTAAGCACCAATAGCCGGACACACATTTGATATTTACTTGAATTTATCACTACATCATAGCAACAAGGTGGCAGACGCTGCAATGAGTACTTTGATCTCAAGATATCACCAGCCTTTAGTTATCTCATATACTCACATATCTCTGCTACTATTTAAGAACCTAAACTGGATTATTGTGAGCAGGCCCAAATACCAGTTTTCTGTCCAAGGTTGTAATTTAGGAGTGGTGGATTGGGGCTTAAATTACATTGATTAAGTATCATGAAGATGATTACAATGCTTCCCAGATATCTAACCACTAGTCTCATCTCTCACACTCATGCTACAAATTGGCCACTTTACAGAAGGTTAGGGACATATGCAAGGATTTTGAAGTAACCCAGGAGAATCTACATTTGAAGGAATTCAGAGTCAAACTTACGACTGCAATTGGAACCAGAATTTCCACTGCTAAGTAATATGCTTGTAATGACTTATTTTGGCCATGGTTGTTATGCAAATCACTGCAGTTGTTAAGTGAATCATGTGGTTGTTATGCGAACCTGGCTTTCCCCATTGACTTTGTTTGTCAGAAGCTGGATGGGAAAGTTGCAAATGGTGATCATGTCACCCCAGGAGGCTGCAAACATTGCAAATACATGCCGGTTGCCAAGAACCCAAATTCTGATCATTATTCATAATATTTATCTTGTTTTAGCAACAAGAATAAAATAGAAAAACAGAAAAACATACATTCAACACTAAAAACGTCAACAACAACAAAAGAAAAAATGTTAATAAGAATATTGTATTAAATAAGCAAATGTTCCAAGTGAGTGGATCTCTGTCTGACAATCGAATTGACTCAACATTTGATTATAGAATACATGTAAAAGAAAGAAAAAGAAAAGAACCCAAATTTGGATTGTTGCATTTGTGCAACAATCATAAATGTGGGAAGCTGTCTTAAGTCATTTTTTTCCAGTAACTTGAACTGTCACTAAATGAATGGCTGCAAGTCTAGGACAGGCATATCAAACTCGTGATGTCACGTAACATCGCGTGACGTATCGGGACTTTTTCCTCATTGCCGCCAATGGGTGGGTACAGTTTCGGCGTGATGCATCTGACTCGCGGGCCGGCAATTTGACATGCCTGGTCTAGGACTATCTATATTTAGTAGCTGTGGCAATAGAGGATTAAAGCTCTATTTTAGATGGCGTTATTTGCCAGTATTTCTCATTTTGGAAATGGAGCAATATTTTTTCTCATTTTCTTTTCTGGCTTGGTTTCTATGACTTCGTTAAGTTTATGATGTTCCCATAATCCAGATCAATGTTTGTTAGCAAAAGAACAAGTTGTGTAGAAAACTAATAAACTTCCAAAATACATTGTGAAGGTTATTACATAGTAAAAGGAAATATTTGCAGTATAATCTGCTTGGAAATAGCCAGGTAACACTTGAGTAGGAAGATAGTTTACACTGAGCAGATGTCTTTTTAATTATGACATTTCAGGCTATTCCAGAGGAGGGCACAGTAACTAATGAGTACATTATGAGAATTGTATGCAGCACTTAATAGACATCTTTACAACTGGGAGCCCGTCTGTACAAATTGTACAACTTTGGTGAATCAACAAGCAAAAAAAAAAAGAATACTGCGGTGTGGTACATTTTTATTGTTTTGATGTGCTGGGTTCTTAATCAGAGTTTAATCACCCTTTTACTTATTAATAACCTTTAACATGGGCAAAAAGAAATATCAGTATGGCCTCAGTAAACAGACTAATTGAAAATTTAGTCCTTGATGCTTTTACAATATATATGAATACATGGACCTGATACAGAAAACTGAAAGCAGAGGAGGTGATTACTCATCCAAACATAGGAATAGGTGAAGGACTCCAGTTGTGGGTAAATGCACAAACTTTTTGTTCCTCAAAATTGTAACACTAATGAGAAAGTTATGAGTGAAATGCCCGTTTAAAAGATTAAACTAGCTACAGTGCAACAAATGAAGGATTTTCTAAGTAACAGAAGACAGCTGGAGTTTTATCTGTGCTGGTAAATCACAACTCTGGCTCTGCTTAGTGCAGAAAGCCAAGTTAAACGATCCCTGAAATGTGACTGTCTAATTTCTGTTGCCACACCACCACTTTAGAGAAGCTCACCTCTTCTTCAGATAATTGGCTCTTCTGAAACTGTTCTCCCTCTTAGAATCTTTTTTAGAAAAAAAAATTCAACAAAAATAGATTGATTTTCCATCTGCTAGTGGTTCTTTGCTTTCTATTAGAATCGTATCCAATATCAAAAAGGTGAATTTCATTAAAGGATCTTATGTTCATCCCTCATTTTCATTCATGTTTTCCAAATGTGTGGGCAGTTTCAGATAAAGTGTTGAAATTGTTACTGAACAGCTGTACACCGTAAACAAATAGCTGGTTCAGGAATTCTGGGAGTTGAAGTCCACGAGTCATAAAAGAGCCAAGGTTGCCTACCCGTGAAATAGGGAAACAGATTTTAACTTTGCTAAAGAATTAACAATGTAATACTTAGTCCAGGATTTTGTTCACTGTAATGAAATGCAATTGTAATATGAGAATATCATAGCAAAATGGTGGGCTCCACCCGTCCCACTGACTAGAGCAGATCTGAAAGTTCTCTGTAGAGCTTTTGAGTTCTATCTAAAGTTGGCTCTGAGACATTAACTTCAAAGCCATCAAGTATTTCTTGGTGTTAGAGACAATGACATTCTTGAAAACATGAGCCAACTTTAGCCATTATTTTTTATAAATTTGCAGAGCAAGGGCAGTAGAGCAACATCCTCAGTCATGTTGGACTTCACAATCAGATTGAAGCTTGTAGCCCTGCCTTTCAATCTGGAAACAGATTGGTATAATTTTTCCAAGCAGTGTAATTGTTGCTCAGAGTACATTTGCTTCAGAATCCAAGTTTCTGCTTTAACCTCCAAAATGGTCACTTGTCATCAGTTTTGTGCTTGCATGTGAGTAAATATGTATGGGTGTGTATGTGCAACTTCAGATTGTTTTATTACAAGACATTCAAATATTTCTTCTTAGACTGGTTACTTCCACTTGCCTGATGGAGACTACTTCATTGAACCAGTGAAGAAATATGAATCAAAAGAAGGGGCACATCCACATATAATCTACAAGACAAATGTCATCCAGAAGACTCTGCGAAAACAGCGGGACACCTGGACAGATAAGCAACGGAATTGCGGGGTGAATGGTACACATGTACTGTATATACTTTCAAAATGTGTTGCTTGATAATCTAATTAAAATGAAGAAGCTAAGAGCATCTCCCCCCCCCTCACCTTTTCTTGCATTTTTTTTTTTTTTTTTTTTTTGCAACTTATTGGTTTCCTGTTGCAACTGGACGCAAAAAAATGGTGATCTGTACTTTGATCTTGAGAGGAAGAGGGATATCTGGTTGTTTCACCTTTCCTGTTTTATTTGATGCTTAGAAATAATAACAAGCATGCAACAATTCAGAATATTCCATCCTTTCCAGCTGGCCCTATCATGTCAAGACATTCTCTTTCTAAGATAATTATTTTTCATAATTACAATTACTGGAAATTATTTTGAAATAATTACAATAAAAGGAGATTTGTGAAGAGTTGCATACTTTCACTTTAATTAAGTGAATTTGTGTCCATTTGAGATGTTTTTTAAATTAAAAATATTATAAAGTCTAACCTCTGAGACTTATACATGGCTAGATAATGATATATAAAAATGGAGATTTCTCTCAAATTTCAGTTTTCAGGGTGGTGTGATTGCTAGAATTGTCCCGTATATTTAAGATGGCGCTATCTTCATAAAAGATTAGGCCTTAGGGAATGATCTATTAATATAACTGCTGTAACAAAGATGGCAGAGAATAAGGATAGTGGGAATATTCCAGTTACAGTAAGCTGGTGAATCCAGTATTTTGGCATCCATAATAACCTTCTTTGGAAATCTAAAAAAGCCTCTAAAATCCACAGTACAAATGAATACTCAATTTTGTATTTAAAAGTTAATTGGGTAGACAAGCAGAAAAGGGAATAATATAGTTATAATAGAAATAGCTGTTTTTTTACCTCATCCAGATTCAAGTTTCTTATGAATCTTTTGAATTGTTCAAAATACAGCTTTTTGCCTCAAAAATTTGAATAGTTCACCCTTATAGTTAAAGTGGTTTATTCAAATATTGCCATGCAATTATTAAGCAAAGAAATTCACTGGGCTTTTTTTGCCCTACTGTTTGGAAATGAGTGCTTTGCAATGATCTTAATAAAAAAAGCAATAATTAACTGTGAGAAAGAACTGCATGAGTTAACTGGGATGATTCATATGGTCCAAACAGGCTTCCTTGCTGTTGTCAAAATAAATTCATTATGAAAACAATCTGGTTAACCCAGTATGTGAACCATCATCTCTGCTTGGGAAGGTATCACAATTCTGGACCTTTTTGCTTCACTCAGAATAGTTCCTGGCAACTATATCCATTTTTTTTATAACGTAGAAATGTGGGAAACAGAAGTCAGTAAAAGTCATTTCACTTGTGATGGAGAAGTATATTAATGTTATTTTCTTGATGATGCTGAAAATGGGAAAATTATTCAACTGTGGATTTACAAAATACCATTTTCATGTGAATCATAAACAGGACTGTTTTTTTCTGGAGAGTTTATTGAAGGCTAAGTCATTAGGTGGACTTCAAACCAAGTTAGGGTTGAGTTAGCAGAATTTCTGGGTCACAATTCAAACTATTTTTTTTTTTACAATTCAAACTATTATTGAGTGACTGAATAAATATATACATCTTTTTCTCATCTGCCCAAAAAGAACTACTTTGCAGATGGAATTTAACCATGGTAATGGTTTTACCATGGGGTCCTTGGTGCTCTCTGAGCTTGCTATATTCTTACAGACATTTCATTACCCAATTAGGTAACCATGGTGACTTTGCTGATGAGAATATCCAGGAAAGGTGGTGCGTTTGTTGTTTTCTTCTTCCCTTGTGAATTTTATTCATTTGATATATCAGTTTAATCAAAGAACACCAAGAAATCTCCCACCAACACTGGTAAGGCAAGCCATTTGTATATAAACAGAGAGCAAACCCCACTCCCTTCTAGCATAATGAAGTTACCTAATTGGGTAATGAAACATCTTCAAGAAAATAATCAAGCTCAAAGGGCACCAAGAACCCCATAGTTGAACCCGGAGCTACAAATATTTTCTTCTAATGCAGGCATGTCCAGCCTATAGTATAGGCCATTGACTGCATGTGGCCCTAGTTGGCTAGTAATGTGGCCCCACAAGACCATAAACAAGGCAAGCCAAAAATTTGGGCACCCATGTTCTAATGGCTTTATCATTAGGCAATAAATGGTAGTTGCTTCAGAAAACTGAATTGAATTCGTTGGAAGGGTAGAAATTACCAGCTATTAAAATATTATTGACATATTTTCCCTCTCATAATGTGGTACTAGTGGGATTTTCTGCCTCCAGTGCCTGACTGATTAACTGGACCAAGCTTGGAGACTATGCTTGACTTAGAGACAGGAGTGAGAACCTTTCATTGCTTTGCCTAGAGTGGTACAGTGTTTTGATCTGTCACTACAATATACCAGATTTCTAATAGGTTTTTAACATGAGTGGTTCAGATGTGACAAAGCCTCTCACAGCTAAGGATAACTGTTTGTCCACTAAACTTTTCTGGCTTCTAGGAGTTCAAAAGACTCATTTCAAATCTTTTCTAAGCTTCATGAATTAAATTCTTTTTTAAATATATATTTTACAATGTTTAAGTGAATCCGAAGTCTATAACTTATAGGATTGGATTATATGAAGGTTGGCTTCAAGCGCGATGGGCTGCAAAAGTAACACATATTCAGTGGGGGGGGGAAGGAAGAGAATTCATTGTCCCCCAACTACGATGCTCCAGCTTTATGTGTCAAATTCCTTCTGAATTTAATCATGGGCAACATCGGCCAGCACCAGCTGTTCCTTTCTAACTGCTTGTGGAAATGAATGGCTTGCCTTGCTTATTGCGTTTGTGCAGGACATCTAAAGTTCTATTGCCAAATGAAATGTTGAAGGCTAGGGACTTGGGATCTCAATGTTCTAAAATGAAAGAGAGAATTCTGGGGCTTGTAAAAAGAAAAACTGGTGACATACAGTATAATCATACTAATTATATGTACAGTATTTATCTTAGAGTGATTTTAATTAATTAAAATAATTTGTTTATTCTTCACCCATTTCTTTGTTTAGAGAGCATGGCTCCTAGTTGTGGTGGAAATCCTATCTGAAGACGTTGAGCTAAATGGAGGGTTCAGAAAAATCAGCTTTGCTTATTAAGCTAGCAAAAGAATGCAGAGATTGCCAGGCTATTAGCAAGCAAAATCAAAGTCTTAAATAGATTAAACTAAATTCTAAGGAATATGGAATGATCATGATCATGAAGTTATGAAAGTGAAGGCTATTATTTTTGGAAGCAAAAATGCCAAATTGTCCAAGGAAGAGGAATCACAACTCATCGGTATCAGTTTATCAGAGGCATAGATACCCTATAAATTATCTGTTCAGGTTGTTGCAATAGTGTGATTCTTCTTGTTTTCTAAACATAGAAATATAGAATACAAAATAACAGAGTTGGAAGGGACCTTGGAGGTCTTCTAGTCTAACCCCCTGCTCAAGCCGGAAACCAGTATTTGAGGGGCTGCCACAAAGACGAGGGGCTCACATTATTCTCTAAAGCTCCAGAGGGCAGGACAAGAAAAAATGGTTGGAAACTGATCAAAGAGAGAAGCAACCTGGAATTAAGGAGAAACTTTCTGACAGTGAGGACAATTAATAGTGGAATAGCTTGCCTCCAGAAATCGTGGGCACTCCATCACTGGAGATTTTTAAGAAGAGGATAGACCAGTCTCTTTAGAGACCAGGTGCCCAAAAAACACCACGCCCCCACCTTGCCCCCTGCCCCTGCTCCACCCCCCCGCTCTGCCACCCGCCCACAAGGCCACCCACCACCTCCACGGCCCACTGCAGATCACCCAGGCAGCCCAGCAGCATCATGGCAGCCATGCCCTCCGCTCGTGCCCCGCAGCATCATCTGCGCACGACGGGGCGTGAGGGCAGAGTCTTGCCCGGCTGCCATGTCCTTGGCTGCGCTGCTCCACATGGGCTGCACCAAGGGGCAACTCTCCGGGGGGGGGCTGCTGGTGAGGAAGGGACTGTGGGAGGAGGCAGGGCTGGGGCAATGGCACACGTGACCACAGAGAGGGCTCTGAGTGCTGCCTCTGGCATGTGTACCATAGGTTCGCCACCACTGGGATAAACAGTCACTTGTCTGAGATGGTATAAGTTCTCCCACTTAAGCTGGGGGCTGGACTAGAAGACCTCCAAAGTCCCTTCCAGCTTTATTCTATTCTTTACCATTTTAGACAAATGGCTGTTCAATCTCTTTTTAAAAACGTCTAGTGATGGAGCACCCATAACTTCTGAAGGCAAGCCGTTCCACTCATTGTTCTAAATGAGATTGTTCTAAATGCCAGGAAATTTCTCCTTATTTCTAGGTTGGATCTCTCCTTGATTAATTTCTAACCATTGCTTCTTATCCTGCCTTCAGGTGCTTTGGAGAACAGGTAGACCCACTCTTCTTTGTGGCAGCGCCTTAGATATTGGAAGAGTGCTATCATGATACCCTTACTCCTTCTTTTCATTAGACGTGATATACCCATATACCTGCAAATGTTCTTCATATGTTTTAGCTTCCTGGCCCCTAATCTTCTTTGTTGTTCTTCCTTGAACTTTTTCTAGAGTTTTGCTATGCTGTAGTGACCAAAAATGGGTGCAATATTCCCAGTCTGGTCTTTCCAAGGCATTATAAAGTGATACTAACTCTTCACCTGATTTTGATTCTATTATGTGAAGTGTTGGTAAAACTTTATAATGCCTTGGTAAGACCACACTTGGAATATTGCACCCAATTTTGGTGACTACAGTATAGCAAAATTGGATGCAATATTCCAAAGGCCTGGATAGCTTTATTTATTTATATAGATTTTGTCTGACTTAGCATAGCTGGAGGATCATAAAGTGGGATGAAGAAAAGCAAGCAGAAAATCAGGACCAGAAAGCAAATCAGAACTGGAGCAGCAATGGGGAAGTAGCTCAAAGTCAAGATAAGGCAATTAAAAAACTTCAAGAGCATAGTTAAATTTAGGAAGAGCACAAAGTACTGCTGGGACAGGAAGCCTTTTATAGTCTGTCTTGCTTAGAAGAATTCTATGAA